CCCCAAAACCCCAAAACCCCAAAACCCCAAAACCCCACTAGCTAATTTATTTATGAAATTGTAATGAAAACTAATATATAAATACAAGTAAGAATAGAATATTTTTCAAACTAATAAAGGTCCCATGCTGTTGAATAATTAGACATTAGAAGGTATATACTATTTAACAATAAAGTTTTATCAATGTCCTCCACAAACCCACTGATATTTCTCAGGTAATGCTGCACTATTTTCATTTATTGTTATCCATTAACATCTACAGCAATAAGCTGAATATCCTTTTGCAGCATCTTACGCCTTTAATTTAATATTAATTCATGGATAATTCTTACCTCTTTTAGCTTAGCCTCATTTTAACTGTGCCCTTTAAAGAATGTTAAGTCATATTATGGCTTCCATTTCACATCAAGAAATCTCTGCACTTACTTGGTACACTTAACGCATCTCATTTAATCACAACTTTTTGGTTTCATAACAGTTTGCATTTACCCATTTGCAAGATAACTCCCTCCTATTAGGACCTAATGACATTTAGCTCCAACTAGAATAAGTCCCTCGCTAATTACTCGACTGTAATCATTTTCAGACATTCTCATCATGATCCTGTCATCTAACCTTGCATAGTCATGATTATCAGCAATATCATCAATTAAGTCTTGTAAATCATCGTCAGATAGAAGAGCCGTTCCTCCAACACCACCTTATTTTAGATTGTTTCTTGAGATAGTTGAATTTTTAAGCTCTCTATATCCGTGTACTAGCTTTACCTTCTCTTGTTATTGCTAGCTCAGTTATTTTGCTGTTTTTAACTCTATATACAATGATGGACTCTAATTAACGATCTTGATTTTGTTATCATCATTTCTAAAATGGCTAAAGCTTGGAGATCCCTGTTAACCTATTATAAATGTAGTATTCTTCCCTCCATCCCAAGAGTCTTTAATCTGGTTAATAATTGAATTCTGAAAGCTTTCATTGAGTCCATGCAATCCTGATTCTGGACCCCAAGGTGATTAGTTCCCAGTGCGACTTTTTTAAACAGGAGATAAGCTCTATGTGTCATCTTTAAATTCTTCCAGTAAATCGTCAATATTCATTGTTATTTTTACTAAATTAAACTTAAATTTTAATGAATTAATTAATTTTGAGATAATCTTTAAGAAAAAATTTAAAAGCTTTAAATGATGTTTGGATGGATGATAGAACAATAATTGTTAATGCTTAGCTTTTAGTATTATAATTACTGCAAATAATATCATTATAATAATAATTCCATTCCTTAATGGGAAACTCTTCAGTCTGCATCAAGCAATAAATAAAGCCAAATTCAAATAATGCAAATATGCAGCTTGGGATATCTGGGATAGATTAACTTTCAGGCTCACAAAGAAGAACTAGATCCAAGAAATAAAGTAAAGATTTCATGTATGGTTACTCCTTAACAATTCTAATTTACTATTCTTATTTTATTTCTACTATGAGAAGTTTTTTTAATAAACATAAATGTAGAGAGAGTCAAATGAATCAAGAGTTTCTGAACTAGAACGAAAATATAAATATAAATATTCTACCACTACATCAAGAAAAAGACTCTGGTACATAGAGAAACCATGACGCGTCAACAAAAATGACTCAAAATAATGATGAAATAGCATCTCAATCAAATATTAAATAGGGGAGCTCATCAAGAGAAAGTGGGCACAGCAAACTTATGATGTAATCGTCAACTCCAAAATCACTATCAATCGATAAAAATACTTTGCAGCCAGACAAATTAAGCTCCAGAAAAGGTGATAGCTATATGAGCAATAGATTTCTAGTACCTGAAAGTATAAACTCTGCGGAAATACACGAATCAATGTTGATTTCAGACATAAACATGGATATTAGTACTAGTTAAAGAGACAATTACAACTTTATAGGCTATTCTTAAAATAATCAACAACATTTCATAGCAGATCAAGACTCTCTAACTAAATCTTATAATCAAAAGGTCAAGGAAGATACAAATTACTTAGCAAAGCAAAAGATGATTTATGATAATGAACGAATTGATAATCATAGCTATGATAATTAGGATGAAAATAATAAAACTTCAAGAAAAAATTCAGCGGATAATTTATATGATCTTGAACTTAGGCAATCCTATGCTTAGTTGATTGAGCAGTAATCATCATAGTATAGCTAATCGAAATAAAAACATAAACTTTCAGACTAATTAGACTCTTTTGAACCTAGTGAATTCGTACCTATAGAATACGAGGATAGTGATAATGAAATTTTGAACATTTCTGTAATAGAATTAAATGATCCATAGCTAATTGAAGATATTGTAAAAAAGGTGAATTCAATTGGTGGCATAAGAAAAATCTACTACTTATTTAAACATCAAAGGCGCGAATTACTTCAAGCAAAAAACAATGGAGAGTTTGACGAGGAATACATTGAGATGTGTGAACTGTATCTGTCAGAAATTGAAGGGTAAAGGTAAAAGAATTTAAATTATGTGCTAAGAAAATTAGGCAATATTTCAAAGATTTAGTACAGTAAAAATTTGAACAAAATTGACAAGGAATTACAAACCTTACTTGGATTGAATAGAAGAGTTAAGATGCCAAAAAATTACGATGTAGAATAAGCCAAAGAGCTTAAACTCAAAATGCAGGAAAATGTATTGAAATTATGGAAAATGCACAAAAATCTTTTAAGTGATAAACTTGATATGGAAAAACTGCTAAGTATTTTAGAATGCTATGCTGAAGATTTACTATATTTTGAATATGATGTAGAAATTGAGCAACTCGAAAAACTAATCCATAGACATCAATAATTAAACACCAGTAGGTTGATCTCAGATTCATTATCAGATAGTGGTAATCGTCTTTCAGTAAGCTATCTTCTCTAACACTCAGATACATTAAACTCAGTTGGTAAAATGTCCCTTAAAATGGCAGTAAGAATGAGTATTTTTACTATTCATGAGGAAGAAGTAAACGAAGATGATGACTATGAATGAGAGGACCTCAGCATTGAATGAGAGACTAATCTATAGAGTATTTATATAAGTTGCATATCAGTTCATCCTTCATGTAAATAAATAAGTTAAAGCCATTTGTCTATTTTAGGAAATGCATCAAATTATTTATAGGTAAACATTAATTTGAATTTAAGATTTTTCTTGCTTTTTCACCTCAGAATTTAGGCTTAGGGGTTTTGGGGTTTTGGGG